CGTAAGTATAGGGTTTGAGTGTGTTTCAGGTGTAAGGGTAGGTTTTAGGTGGGTTTCAGTATGTAGGTTACAGATTAAAAGGGTTTTTTTTAGGCGTAAGTATGGGTTTAAGTGGGTTTCAGGTGTAAGGGTATAGGTCTTAGAGGGGGTTTCAGTGCGGTCTGTCATAAAAAAAAAAATAAAATAAATGAAAAAAGTTTTTTTTAGGCGTAAGTATAGGGTTTCAGTGGGTTTCAGGTGTAAAGGTGGGTTTCAGTTGGTTCCAAATAAAAAGGCTTTTTTTTTAGGCGTAAGGAGGGGGTTTTTCAGTGCGGCCTGTCATAAAAAAAATTATTAAATAAATGAAAAAGAATTAGGTGTGTTAATTCTTCTCGATGCTTCCTCCTATTCAAGCGTGGACGGAACCGTAACCCCCCAAACCAACTCATCAAAAATGCCTCGCTGCAGCAAACTTCATTGGTTAAGACTTCATAACTGTAAAATATATATTATTTCAGCCCATTCTCACCCCCAAGGCGTCACTTAACTGACGCCTTGGGAAGCATTTGGACATGCTTCAATATCTGACGCTTTAGGCGCCCTTTAGCGTCAGTTAGATGACGCCCTAGGATCGCGTGTACCCTAACCCCACCCCACACCTAAACCTAACCGCGTCCTCTAACTGACGCTTTCCTTTAGCGTCAGTTAGATGACGCCGTAGGATCGCGTCATGTAAGTGACGCTAAAGGGCGCCTAAAACGTCAAATATTGAAGCATGGTCAAAGGTGACGCCTTGGGGTGAGAATGCGTTGATTATTTCTCCTCATTGCAATTGGTCCCCCCTGAACGCGCGAGCATAAATCTGGCCCTGCAAGACCAATACAGTATTTTCGGGCAGCATATAAGTAGGTATGAAAACATGTTCATGCCAAGACAGCATTTTTGGCTATTATAGGCACAATCAAAACTCATTTTTGACTACCTAACTTATACAGCATTTGGGGGGCATCGAAAACACGTTCAAACCTAATTCGTAGACAGTCCTATAGACATCATTTTGGGCATTATATACACATTCAAATAGTGAATCACCAACCTAGACTGCGTTTTTGGGAATAAAGGGCATGTTAAAATCCAAGTCAAATCGTAAAGAGACTCCTCTCTAGCATTTTTGGCATCACATTCAAACCTAGTCGATAGTGAGTCACCAACCCTAGATTACATTTTTGGGCATCATGTACAAACTAGTCAAAGCAGTAATCAATTTCAAACCTAGTCAAAATTCAGCAAATAATACCCATGCATAGTGTAATAACTGTGCCAGAATGATAACAAACTTAAAGGGAAGTTAGAAGGATGCGGGATGGATAAAGAGATAAAAAAAAAAGCTTAGACAAAAACAGATCACCACTGCTGTCCAAATCTCAACTGCTTCACTATCCTTTTAAACCTTCCAAAACACTATTGTCTTACATTCATCAAACCATGTAAGTGAACAAAGGGAGGCTCAAATTCTAAGCAGGCAAGAATTCCTTCCCGCAAAATGGAGATCATTGTTATATTGACTCACACTCATCAGAGTAAATGATTTTTCGTATTGATTCTGCTGGAAGACTGACATGTGAAAGCCAGAGGAGTTAGGCTGTTTTATGGTAAGATCTGTAAGTGCATTTCTGTGGATGCAAACAATCGAACATGCATGGTCATAGGTTACACATATCACAAATATCACTGTTATAGATGCACATGAATCACGACAGCATGCATCTATACTTGGAATAGGAGTCAATTAGTGTAATCTAATCAACACTGAGTAATTTGAGATGCATGAATGTGTAAAGTCTATTGCGTTGTTGTGTGATAAAGTCACACTGAAGTGTTGAGGTGACAAGTAAACTGCAGATCAAAATGATGATCAAATTTAAGCATTTCTTTAGGGTTTTTTTGTTGTTGTTGAAAGGCTATTGTTTTCTCCCCACTCATCTTTATGTTTTTGCATGCATACAACTCACAAACAGAATATGAAATATACCATTGATTCCACCATAGCTCTTTTAAACACCAAAATTATACATTTGTTTCAAAACCCAATATAAATAAGTGTAAAGCAACAGAAAGTATTTTCTATACACTAAGTGTAAATAGTTGTTCATACGAAACAGTTTCGCACCTCAGTGTATTGTATTATATTATATTGTAAAACAGTATGCTGTTTCATTCACACATGCAAAAAGACTCTTTTTATTAACCCTTTACCCATATACAGGTAATAAATAACTAAATGAATAAACACCTGTTTATTGTGCTATTAAGCATTTTTCTCTCCTGTGAGTCTCTGTTAAACACATACTCTATTTGGAAAGTGGGCCTTTATATTTCCGTCATATAAAAAGCTCTTCCCTTATCTGCAGATGTTCTCCCTTTCCCAGACATATGGAAATCCTCACCCTGTGGTCTGGAGGGAGGGAATGCTGCGGAAGAGCCCCATCTGGAGTGGGGACAAGGTGGGTAATGGAAGAGATGAGGCCCCCCTCTCTGCCAGGTTCTCTGGAGAACCCTTGGGCTTGTCTGGAAACGCATCAATCGGTCATACACAGCGGGCCGATCCAAAGCCTGTCACCGGATAGCCCAGGGAGAGGAGTTAAAACTACAATTGGTTCTGCCGTTTAATGATAGAAGCTACAGGCCACTGGAGACCCGGCGAGTGCTGAAACAGACAGGCTTAGTGAACGCAGCTGGAGGATTATGGCAGATTTTGGGTGATGATGGAGACAAGTGGTTTTGAGGCCGTGAATAATCACACGCAGCCAAACTTGACCACTTTGACATGCTTATTCAGTCTGATTATCTACGTAAAGTGCAAAGAGCAGCATTAAAACCTTTTCACATGTCAGGGCTTCAACACAAGCGTAATTTCACCTTCATACTAAAAGCGCTGCAAATAGCATTACATAAGACGATTTTACGCGGTTACTAGGTCAAAATAAAGTGGTTTAGCAAGTTAAACAGTGTAAACAAACAAACAAACAAACAAACAAGGTAATGTACACTCACCCAAAGGATTATTGGGAACACCATTCTGACACCCTTTTGCCTTTAGAACTGCCTTAATTCTACGTGGCATTGATTCAACAAGGTGCTGAGAGCATTCTTTAGAAATGTTGGCCCATATTGACATGGTCAGAAACAATGCTCAGGTAGGCCGAGGCATTTAAACGACGCCCAATTGGCACTAAGTGGTCTAAAGTGTGCCAAAAAAACATCCCCCACACCATTACACCACCACCACCAGCCTGCACAGTGGTAACAAGGCATGATGGATCCATGTTCTCATTCTGTTTACGCCAAATTCTGACTCTGTCTCAACAGAAATCGCGACTCATCAGACCAGGCAACATTTTTCCAGTCTTCAACTGTCCAATTTTGGTGAGCTCTTGGTTTAAGCTAAAATTCCTAAAATAAATAACAATATTAACAAGTGAAAAATTATAAACAATCAATGGCTTACAGGGGGCGTATTCAGAAAGCTGTATTGAAAACAATGTTTATTTTTGCAGTCTTTTTCAGTGGCACAGAAATGACACTTCAGCTTCAGACTCGTTTACACTGCATGGTTCAAGTGACCCAAATCCGATTTTTTCCTCTCATGTGGCACAGATCGGATTATGACCGATGAACGTGTAAGCAGGAAAAAAACATGGATTCCGATTTTCTCAGATCGGATTCATCCCTCATTTATATGTGGTAATAAATCGGATATGAATCAGATACGTGCATTTGCGTGTGCCATGTAAGCAGACAAATCGGAGATTCCCCAGTAAATGCGAGTCATGCGTCATTAAAAACTGCGCGATTATAGGCGCGAGCCACGCGATGGAAGAAAGGACACACACAATGGAGCAATGCGGAGGTTTCGTGTCTTTTGAGTGTTTGGGGTTAAGAGTGCAGGCAAAAATGCAGGGTTGTTACATAAATAAATTCGTTTTTGAAGACATTTCACGAGATATGAGGCATCGTTTTAAGTGCTCATGGCCAGTTCCTCTTTTTTTCTCCGCCGTACGAGACCAATGTTTTGATGACTTATTAAAATATTGTGGAAAGAAAACACTGGATAATTTTATTCGCATCTGCATGCATCCATTGAATTTCGTGCTGTTTTGCTTAATTTCCCGGTTCAGAACCATCAGAACGTCTGCATTTGGTAGTTTCAGCAGTGTATAGTGTGAATGAAAAATCGGATATGGGTCACTTTTAAAAGATGACGTAAGCAGGTCGTCAAAAAAATCGGATAAAGTCAGAAAATCGGATTTGGGCATCAAGACCTGCAGTGTAAATGCAGCCAATGTGACTGACAAATGCCTCTCTTCCATCATATCTTATTGCATTTACACAACACCAGACAGAAAAATGTATCATGTGAATTGACTGGTGATAATGATTGGCTGTTTCACAAGTCGTCAGCAAACAGCAGTTGAAATGATTGAAAGTTTCAGCATTGACCAGCCTTCAAACATTGTGAAGCCTCCAAATAGTTCAATGGATTGAAGAAGGAGGATTCGCTAGATTAATAGAAAGGGAGCATGAATTTCTCAGGGCTGAAGCACTTGGTCTGCTCTGGTCAAGTGTCAGTGCTTTGCATGAAGGGTGATCCCAGATGAGACAGCTCCCAGCATGCCTCAGGGTACCAGGACTCACTATCAGAGCTGCACACACCCAATGTGCTGAGGAAAAAGCTTTTATTCTGCATACCAAATTATTTGCATCAAAAGCTATTAAAGGTTATCGGGCAGAATAGTATCGAAGCTCTACAGCATTTGGACACTTCTGCTGCATTAAATGTCATTGCATTAGATAAAATATGAAACCAAATAACATTTGTTTTAATGAAATATAAGAGGAGGATATGATCAATTAAATAGAAAACAACCTTGAGATCAAGTGTATAATCGCATTTTGGGGTCACTGTATTTGAGTTAAGTAAAATTGTATGAAAAAGACCAAAAAAAACCCATCACATTAGATAAATTTAACATTTTATTTGTGGAAAAAACACAAGCAAAATGCATCAATGGACATTTCTACTGGAAGTATGGGAAATGATAAAGAAGCCTCTAAAAGCAAAGTCGTGCACATGCCAGAAGTCTGTCGAATGTTAGCATTGTATCAGCTATAGACAAGGAGCAGTGATCAATTCAAATAATTAAGAGAAAGGGCAGTAAAATGTACATTTACAATTCAAACAATGAGCTCAATACAAAATTTACAAATAACAGCAACTAAGAAGAACAAAACCAAAAGGAAAAAAAAAAAAATTACAATAACAAAATGAAAAATTATTATGCAAAAGAAAACTGTAGAAAGCATATATATATATATTTTTTTACAAGATATTGAAAAATTAAAGGAGCCAGGACTATACAGGTACACTGAAATTTCACCAGATTAACGCTATAGCATATGTAAACAAGCATTCTAGATTTGGGTTTCTGACCAAAAAAAAAAAAAAGCTAAAAAAAAAAGTGTAACCATCTTTACACAGTAAATTAAGGTTACTGGTCGTACACAAGAACAGAACTGCTTGCGCGTAAAAAAAATAAACAAAAACGTTTAGCTCCATTGCTATTCATAGCCTATTATATTGGCTTTTGCACCATTTTGAGTTATACATAAGCAATTTAAAATCAGCAATTGTTTTTTTTCTCCTCAAATTTGAATAAATTAACATACAATTCATTGTTTGTTCTTTTTTTCCTATACAATTTTACAAAATTCAGGTAATCGTTTCTGACAGCGGATAAGGCAAGTGAAAAAAATGGCTATATTCATACATATTACGAAATGTTTTTTTTTAAGCTATACATTGCAAATTCAATAACTTTGCAGGGGTTAAAATGTAGTAAAATCTCAACAATCTGAACAATGCAGAATAATTAAAGCCCCAGTGATTTGTGATGTCAAACATCCCATTCTGGTTATTACTTTGCATACTTTGAGTAAAAGAAAAGATTTTAGGAATAGTGTCTATCTTGAATTGCACCGATCTAAATGGGTAACAAAACAAAATCTGAAATGCTTTGTATTCAACAATCAATACCGGTTTGGTTGGTTAACTTCACAAACACAGAAGACACATGTTTACCCTCTTAAAACAAGCCTTCATTTATACAAGATGCTTATTAGTCTGTCTACTTCTGCTAATGAAGGTTGTTCACAGAAGCAGTTTCCCATTCAAAGCACCAAAGTGTCCATTTATCTCTTCATTTCAAAACATACAAAAGATTAAAAGAACAATTCAAAGAGGGAAAAACAGCTCGATGGGGATTCACTGTAATAATTCTATGCCATAGCAGAATTAACACGCAGTAAAACGACAGAAGTCAGTGTTGTCTTTACAGATTTGACTTGAATGTCTATAAATTTACAAGTATACAAATATTCTGCATATATCAAGAGGACAAGAATTACACATTTGAAATGGATTATATTAGACTTTATTAAAATGTTATATATCACACATATGGTAATTACATTTTGAATTATTCATTTGCCTAGCATGTCATCAATATCAAATTCCTTTGGTCCTTCAATAAATAAAACTCATATCATATACACATACTTTGTACAAGTTTACAGTTCAAAGGGACGATTTGCTGACTTTTAGATTTGTGGGAAACGCCAGCTAGACAGCTCGAGTATTTTGAGTCAATGGGGATCGGTAATGTTGAGAGAAATCATGCTTGCGTCAATTTTTCATGACACCCAAATAAACTAATTTTTTAAAATGTTGGTACTGAATGCTTGTGAGAGTTCCCATGAATTCAACGACAGTTTGAAGCTCATGTTCAGCATGTCTCGGTGGGACTGTTTGAGTAAATAAGTTTCTGAAAATAATGGGGTGAACTTAGTCACACGTTTGCCTTCAGATTAAAACGAGGCGGAGTACAGCCCTAACATTAAAATGGGTTTCTTTCAAATCAAAAAGAACTAGAAATCGCAAAATAAGTCCTTCAGACCTTTTAGTGTTTTTACAATACATCATATTATGTAGACCATGAAGAACACCAAAAGCTGTCAAATAAAACGTTTCAAATACATTTGCAAAACCAGACGTTAAGCCAAGTGAGCGTTAAGAAAGCTCAGTTCCGAATGTTCAAATACAAAGCTGACATCATGCTCACAATGTCTCCTTGCAGTTTTTGAATCCCAGCTGTCTTCTCCATAACAAAGCGGATGCAAAACACCATCCGTTCATTGATGAAACCAAATCTAGGGAATCCCAGTGCACAAGTGTTCAAACCAGTCTCGCAAAATGAAAAAAAAAAAAAAAAAAAAAATCCCAAAACAAAGCAACAGAAGAATGCAGCCTGACACCAGGCCACAAGCATTTCCATTGTTTTCAAGAGCAGAGGGATCTGTTTCTATGGTGTGAACGTCAGTCTGAGGACTGAAACCATTTCACAGTGTATCTAGCACCATTGCGGGAAGTTTCTCAGGAATCTCCGGCAAGATTGTTTCAACAGCTACTTTAGCTGTGTGAAACTGAAGAGAAAACAAATCTCTTGAAGTAGAGAGATGCAACATAATAAATAAGAGCAATAATGGTCCAGAAAAAAAGTCGATTCAGCTGCACATCCACGTACAAATATAAAACAATACATACAAGAGTGGGATGTCTCCAGAAAGGCAAAGGAGGTACAGGTCGCCCAACGACCCAATACCATGGGTCCAGTTTGCACCATTCACACAAATGTATGCGAGTGTGTGTGGGTGAGAGGACCATAAATCCCCCTTTCAGAGATGGAAATGAATATGAGTTGGCTCAGGGCAAGGTGAGGGGAAAATGGAGGCAAAGTACATCCCTGCGGTCTCGACAGCGTCCGTGGCGCTCAGAATGACTCATCGTGCCCGACCGAGAGGTCTCCCTTTGGGGTCGAAGCACGGGATGAGCCCTTGTCCATGCTCTCGGAGCCGGAGCTCTGGTGCTGCTGTTCAGAGCCGGCGCTGGAGGTGACTGTGGAGGACGAGGTGGAGGAGGTGCGGGTCTTCTCCTTAAAGTCTGTTATGATCACTGTGACGTTCCCCACAGTGATGGCCAGCTGCTGGGCTGTGCTCCTGTCAATGTTCTTCAGCTTGGGTCTGCGGATGTGGAGATAGGGAGAAATATTCAGGGGGGTAGTGTCACAAAGAACACAATTTAGAGATCACCTTTGGAAAGTAAAGATGGTGAAGTAACATGCACTTGGCACCTGTAAAGTCATGGGTTCATTTTTTTAAATGAAGATAAAATCATGTTTTCATGCTTGCACTTTGCGATTTACAAAACCAAGGTCACCTTTTTAAAGTAGGTAATGCAGTTTTTTTAATATATATTTATAGACTTTAAATGTTGGCAATACAATACTATTTAAATGTTTGTGGTCATTCAAAAATAGTGATACTGCATTTTTGTTTTGTCGGAAAATGTATTTTCTTCAGCAAGGACGCATTAAACTGATCAGAAGTGACTTTATATTATAAAAAAAAAAATCTTTGGAATATATTCATGGATCATGGTTACCAAAAAAAAAAAAAAAAAAATGAAGCAGCACAACTGTTTACATAGATAAATATAAGAAAGGCTTTTTGAACAACAAGTTATCATGAAGTAATGGCTGCTTAAAATTCAGCTTTCTAATTGCAGGAATAAATACAATTTTTAAACAAATTATTTTAAAATTTAAATTATATTATATTTTAAATAAATTCAATTATTACATAAAAAAAATAAAAATAATATATGATATTAAAAATACATTAAATCAGTGAAGAAAATGGTGAAAAAAAAAAAAAAAAAAAGTACAGATTCCCTCTGGGCCCAGCCATAACAAATAATTAGTATTCTAAGGTAAAAAAAGGGGGAAAGTCCTCCTTTTATTTTTAATTAAATGCAGAAAAGGATGGTCGTTTCATGAAAACCACGTCTAGAGGTCAAACACTTGTCCACAGTAAAAAACACTCAGACAGCCACACAGCTTTTAATGCAAAAGACTCACTAGCGCTAACATGTAGAAGTTAAACCCCCTAAACACTGCTTGGTATGCAGAAAGGTAAGGTCAAAAGATGATTGTGAGAGAAAATAAGACCAGGTTCACATTTCCTAAACATTTGTTTGCTCTAGATCAGCAAAATTAACACCGACCAGCAGACATTTCAAAAGTTAAACATCACCAAAACTGACATGTACACAAAAAGTCAAACAAAATCTTTCAAAAAATGGAGACATATTTCCAGGGTTGTGTGCATAGCAAAAGCACAAAGCTAAATCTCATTGATTGGTATTAGCCTCAGTTGTTAGTATGCCTCCAAGACAATGTGACACAATGAGCTCTGCTGGCAGAAGCAGACAGAAACAGAATGGTGGGACGGCAGCCAAAAGGGCGTGTGTGGGAGTAAAACTGTGCTGCTCATTTGAGATCAGCCCACGACTTGCTCATTCAGAGAGAAAGGGATTGAGACAGACACATAGAGAGAGAGAGAGAGAGGCAGAGGCATTTGTCATGAATCAGAGCAGTTTCTACAGTGATTTTCGTCACTGCTGACTGCCAGCTTTGTTCACTGTCAGAGTGACTTACAACACATTCTCAAGTCAGATCAGTTTTTATTATTACACTACCATTATTTGGGCTTTTAAATAGCAGCATTGAGCATGTTTATGAAATCATATGGCTGTGTCTAGAGCTAATAGAAGTGTCTTCTCCTTTCCAGGCTATGAGAGCATTACTGAGGGGCAGTTTATTTATTTATTTTTCAATTTATTTTAAACATTACTTTCAAAATTGCTGTAAAATATGGCCAAATTCTGACAGTAACATACTGTTAGGGTTTTCCATTAAAACGGTAATGTGCTGTATAAAACAATGCATTCATACGTGGGAAATATTCTTCACAGTAAGCAACTGCTGTTAATTTACAGCTCATTTTCAACATTAATCTACTGTATTTATGTATTACGGCTATGAACTGTAGTCCAATGCATTGTGGGCTCATGCATTTGTGTGTGAAGTATTAACATAGGCGCTGAACGGGTGTTTCACAGGATTACAAGTCCTCCTATCTGTGATGGCGGCGAAAACTAAATGAAGCAGAAAAGAAGGGGTGCATTGAAACGGACTGCAGCGATGAGTGTGTTTCTTTACAACTGGACCGGTGGCACTAAAGTAGTCTATGTGTTAAAGTTGATAGATAGACTATCTAGTAAACAGTAGGAGTGTGTAAAAAAAGTACTGGCATTTTGTTTTATTGGTAGACAAGTACAATAGGCAGAAGTCTTGCTATGATAGTTGGTGTTTAGAAGCAACACTGGTTACATCACTTGCCCATTACTTTTGCTGTTGAGTAATAGGTTAATGAACTCATCATTCAAGCAACCCGCCCCCAAATTGGCACCAATTTGAAAGCTAAACTAAAATGCGCATGGCCGCACGTGTCAACGGACGCAGAGCAAGCAGAACAGAGTAAAATGTAAAAAAGTGCATTCATAATGGTGCAGAGCAGACTAAGTGTTTTTCCATAGGAATGAAATGAAAACGGTCGCTTTGCTCCGCACCATTATGAATGCCTGTGCGGTAGGCAGACTGACTGCCTGACTTAAAAAAAAAAGAAAAAGAAAAGAAAAAAAAGAATAAATGAATACAAAAATAAAAGGTTAGATACCTGGAGATGTGAGAGTTCTTAATTTTGGTTGTGGATTTTCCGGACTGAATGCTGTTTCGCTCACTGGGTGGGCTTTGATGGCTGTCTGACTTGGGTCTGTAAAGAGAAATTCTTTTGATTACAAATGCCATAAAGCACAGAAGTTTCTCAAATTCTTATTGGTGAATAACGGACTTGTTCTTTTTGTTGTTGGGTTTCTTGGTGATGGCTGGGCTAATTTCTTTCTCTCGGTCCTTCTTCTCTTTCTCAGGTTGATCCTTCTCGCATTTGTCCTTGTCCTTGTCCGTGTCCGTGCGTTCAATGTCGGGTGGATTTCTGTCGGGACGCTCCCCCTCGGTGCGATCTTTCTCAGGCCTCTCAGGCTTTTCCTTCTTCTCTTTCTTTGGGGGAGGAGGGGTGGCATACTGCTGGGCCACCTGCTGTGCCACCAGCTGGGAGTTTATCCGAGGTTTCCTGTGGGGCCAAAAAGAGTTGATATCATCAGAGCGGCACAAACCAATACGAGTAAACTCTTCACTCATCTGGTGATCCTTTAGGTTACCAACAAGTACAAGTTCAATGTCTAAAATCAGAAGTAATCAGAAGTAGTCAGTTTCCTAATATAATGTCCTTTTCAAATGAATGTTCTTGGTTCAACACAAACTCAAACATCTCTGCATTTGATTTCCACAGAAAATAACCTTGTCTTGTCCCTCAGATTTAGGTGGAAAAACCCACTGCATTTACTGAGATGCACTTGCAACAAAAATTTGAGATGAAATGCATTTTACCAGAATTTAGGTTAAAATACATCCTTTTCCAAAAGTAGCAACATATATACATATATCATGGCTCGACATTAACACTTGTCCGCTTCTCTGGGACAAGTGGATTTTTTGAAGGACAAAAGTAAAAGAGAATTTTACTTTCCTGACCGGAAAAGTAGCCTGATTATACAACGTATACATTTTTTGGTGAAAGTTTTGGTGATACTCTAGTCAACAATAAATGACTAGGGTATCACCAATATATAAGCAGGAAAGAGGCCGCACTATCCATAAACTGTTTATTTTGCATCTTTTTTAAGCCTGCTCCTATCTCCATTCATTCATAGGGTATCACCAAAACATAAGAATGATTCTGGTTATGACATTTCTTGTAAATTGCGATTGATAGTGGATAATAATTGTGGGCTATTACTGACAGTAACAAGGTTGCGGTGTTGAGGCTCAAGGAGAAATGGAAACACAAAGAAACTCAAGTTAACATATTGCCAATAAAAATTCGAAATGTGGAGTTTTTACATTTTTAACATACGATTCAGTTAAGCAACCTTGCGTAACGAGTGTTGTTTTCCTGAACACCATAACGATTGAAAATGTGACAATTTCAAACAACAGTTCAAGAAACAGTTAAAATTAAGTCACTTACATTTTTAGACACAATATTGGCTATCTTTGCTCTGTTTCAGCAGCGAAAATAGTTCTTAACATAGATCACAAAAGAACGTGCATCTCACAGCAACACTCAACCATGTTTTCATTACTGAATGATTCAGTGTTTTGAATGAATCGGTTGAGTCAAATATTCAATGATCCATTAATAAACAAATGCCTCATTCTTGAATGAATCAGTCATTTGAATGAATGACTCATTGACTCGCTCATTAAGACGGTCGCCTCCCGCCACCTACTGTTTAAAATGATCATTCTTTCCAACATTTCTTAGCTGTATATTCAAAAATATTTAAAACAATCTCATAACATTATTTAATGCAGTTGTTTTTTTCAGTGTAAATTATTTAATTTGATCAGCCCAGTAGGGTAACAGCCCTATAGTGTCTTATTATTCTAACTAAACTTATAGATCCAATTTAGGAATTTGAAATGAAAGATGAAGAATACATTTAATAAGATTAGGGAGGGAAATGCCCTTTAAATGTCATTTAAATAAGCTGATTGAACACTGATGAGAATATTGCTTCAGAATAAATTATATAAAGAATAAACTTTCTTTTCGGACAAGCAACATTTTTACATGCAAAGTAAGACATTTCAAGAATTTATTTGTTGTAATTTTGATGACTATGGCTTACACCTACGAAAAATTTTCAAAACATTTTCTTTTCAAAATATTCTAATTTTGAATTTGGGGTTTTCATAATCAGTAAACCATAATCATCTCACTTTGTATGTAATGAGTCTATATAATATATTAGTTTCACATTCAAAGTTGAATTTACTGAAATAAATGATTTTATAATGAGTATATATAAATAATACCAAATAATTTTTAATAATCGTTTAATTGTTATTGTATATAATAATGGCAGAATTTAAATATTGCATATAACTATAAATATTCTAAGTTTAGTTTTATTTATATTTATTAAAAAGGCTCTTTGGAGCAAACATACAGAATTAAGTTAATAACATTTGACCAGAAATTCATTGTACAGCAATGTACAGCATCAAAAAGTCTCCTCTCCATCACGTCTGCATGTAATCCACCTCAGTCCGTGTACACAAAACCATTTTAAAGCACAGATTCTGGATTGTGATGAAGACTTTAACGCATACCTAGCGAGGGGATTTCAGTGACTAAAACCCTTTTGCTGGTCCCTGAATGTGATGACAGTCCATCGCCAGCTGTGTGGGTCTGCTGCTGAATGTGTAATCTCATTACTCTACTCCTTTAATAAATGACTGTGAGGATCATAGGGTGGGACATTTGCAGCATGTCATTGTCATAGGGATTAATCAGATTAGCTAGAAGGTTTAGCCCCATTTGTCACAAACCGGATAGAAAGCTGTTTTCAGTCTGGCTGTTCGCTGAAACAAACAAGATCCATTAAATCTTGGGGTATAGCCTACATATAAAAGTAGCACAGAAAGGGAAAAGAAAAGATTACTAAAAAATGATCTGGTCAAAAACATTATTAATATTATTCACTAAAGCAGAATATCTAGGCGCTCAAAAAAAAAGTACCATAGGAGTGCCATAAAAATAGTCCATATGACCAAGTTATTTAGTGAAATCAGATATTTGTATCATTTCTTACTCTCAGATATCCATTGCGCTTGAATGTTCAAACACAAAACAGCAAGCCTGAAACTGCATAATATTCATCTGTTCTCATGTGCAGCATGAATATACCACGTTTAAAAATTACCAGGTAAGAAGTGATTTACACAACTGAGATTATGAATTTCTTTACTAAAGAATAGTATCTATGTGGGTGAGAAAACCTTTTTGCTTCTGTGCGCACACACATTCTGTAACGGTGGAAAGCTGGAGGCTCTCTCCTCGGCGCGGTGTTGAGTTAATTAAAAGCCGAGGGGCTGTGTCTGAGATCTGAGGCAGAGCGCCATGCAGCCCGAGCCAACTCACGTTCCTCAAGCATAATGACCAACATCTGGCAGCAGCTGGGGGTAACAGAGGATTTCAACTGATCACGGGGCTGAAGCCCACAAGTGTTTTTTTTTTTTTGCTTTGTCTAAACATTTAGACTCGGGAGTCCTCTTCACCTCAATATTTCAGATCAGTCGCAGTTGGGAATGTTTAGCTGTTTAGATGGCGGTTAGATTCTTAAAACTGAAAGATTAAGGCTAGACATACTCAATATATCCTCACGTAAATGCACAAACATGAAGGCTTAGCCAATGTATTGTACCGTTATGCTTAAAGTGTTCTCATGGAAGGTAAACCACAGAAAATAAACCTGAGAATACATTTGGAAAACTCGTAAAAACGAGACTGAATCATTCTGTTTACATATTTGTGTAGAGGACATTTATGACTGCAAGACATTGAACTGACTGCTATGACTGTTGTCGCAAAAGGTTATCAATAGCATCATGTCATGTTGTGCCTGGTTAGGAGTGTAAGAGGTCACAGAATAATAAACGAGGCAGAATGCAACTGAAGTACTGATAGAAGCAGCTATTGATCCCAAGACCCAATGGTGCTGTTGATGCCCTTCAACTCAAACCAACATGTAACCCTGGATAAAACTAACAGCTGTCTACTGGTGGTTTGAAGAAAACATGTGGCCCTTAGATAGTGATGGTTCTTTCACTCCCTATGACTGATGTGATACAGATGCCTTTTTCACAGAGACCAGCCAATGTGAAGCCAATCAATCCCTCATAATGGGGAATCATGTACAAGAAGCCAGCACAACTCCAATCAATACAACCTCTGTAAGGAATCTAGATGAGCTTTAGGGCCCGCTGGCAAATGATACTAAAGAGCATCTTTTAGACTAGAGCATGTGGGAATAGTATGCATCAGGTCTGTGCTGGTCAAGGGAAGAAAAAAAAGAAAGATCAGGAACTGACACACTGCAGAATAACTAAGGAAAAGCAAACAATTTTAAAAGGTTTTTACATTTATGCTATAAAAGCTGTGGTGCGCGATATATCGGCCACCGATATAACATCGGCCGATATGGTAAATGTTTTACCTGGGTTGAACGATTAATTTCGCTCGAACCTTCTGAAACATCATATTTCATAAAGTTCGGGGTTTAACCGAATTAGGCATTATTTATGTCTTTTGGAATGCAGTTTGCTTATGTATTAAAAATATGAAAATCACAAAGAAGGCTGCTTACATTTTAAAATACTTGCGCGCGCTTTGTGAAGAGTGCTCATGCATGCGGCTGTGAGCGACTCATTGGTTAAATGTACTTGCATCTCAAATCTGCAGATATAATATCAACATGGAGTCACAGTGCTGCACAAGAGCGCATTTAAAAGTTCACGGCACAAAGCGAAGAAATGTTGAGCGCACAAAACCTAGTGTATATCAGTCCAACAGTTTATTGATCATTTGGTTACTCATAGTTTTAAATTCCAGTAATTGTGCATTTATTGCCAAGTCACAGTCATACTTGTGCTGTGTATGCTAACGGTAGAGTCGTTTAGAAACAGCAAACTCCAGCAAATTAAAGTCATTTATGCAAATCCATAGCCCATTTTCTACAGATCACGCATTATAACGTGAAAATATCATACTGGAGAGAGTATAACCGTGCGTGCACCCTGTCGTAACCGGACGAGGCGAGCTGTTTGAATGCTGAACGGAGAATGATTGACAGCTGCAGCGGAAGGAAGACGAGTTTACGTGAACTTTAACTTGATGTAAAGATACTTCTGTCCCTCACATTAAGCTATGGAATGGCTTCAGAATCAGATGACTTTAATATTGCAGGAAAACTTAATTAGTGCTTGTTTTGGTCCATGGGCAGTAGGTTTATAAACGGCAGTAGCTTTATCAGTAGCGTATCTCCCTCACTTGCCATGCTGATCAGCAACACACCAACACATGAAGAAATTGTGATGTCCAAAACAGATTAAGTTTTACATACTTGACAGTTGACTGGACAGCTACTCAGACGTGAAACCCATGTGGCACACATTGACAGATGGATACATCTTCTGATTTGAGATTAACCACGGTGTAAAAGTGTG